AAACCCTAAACCCTCAAAAAAAAACAGAAAGCAACCACAAACCCTGGGCCCAGCGTCGTCTCTCATCCAAAAGCCTAAACCCTAAACCCTCAAAAAAAAAACAGAAAGCAACCACAAACCCTGGGCCCAGCGTCGTCTCTCATCCTAAAGCCTAAAGCCTAAACCCTCAAAACAAAACAAATAGCAACCACAAACCCTGGGCCCAGCGTCGTCTCTCATGTTCTTGGTCACGAACTTCTCGAAGACATCGCGAGTGCCCACCCAGAACCGGGTGTCCGGTTCGGTGACAGTCACCTTCAAACTCTTGGGGGTTTAGGGCTTCTCTTAAATGAGGAATAGGCCTTACCAATCATAATATGAGGGATCCTGCTACAGTTGAGGGCATGTTCCTTATTTCGGGGTTCTCAGCTCGTTTGGAATTATTTTTGAGCGTCGAACCTTGAGTCATGCTCCCCCTTTTAAACCATCGGTCGGGAAATGGTTTCGGGTTCTGGGTTTCAGCTTTGGTTTAAGGTTTCGGGTTCTCAATTCGTTGCTAAATCTTTTGCGGGGAGACCCCTGAACTTTAGGGGGTTTAGGGTTTAGGGTTTAGGGACCCTAAACCCTAGACTCCAAACAGCCCAGCTTCATTTTGTTGTAAGGACCGCTTGTCGGGAGACACTCTCGGTTTTCGGCGTGGCTTCAGATTCAGAGTTTCGAGTTCGGGGTAGGGCCCTTGGGTTTCGGGTCCCTAAACCCCAGGTGGGACCTCCAACAGTCATCACTGAAGCCCTATACCCCAAACCCAAACCCCTAAACCCAAAACCCTAAACCCTAAACCCTAAACCCCAAGCCCAAACCCCTAAACCCAAAAAGGTAAAGCGCTGACTGCAGCAGTCATACTTGGAGGTTCATATTCATGGGTAGTTCTAAGTGGGGTTATAAGTCCCCTAATATGGGTTATAATTCTAGTTACCCTACTTATAACCCTACTTATAACTACCCATGAACCTCCAAGTATGACCCCTCATAGACCCCTTTATAGGACCCCTTATAGAGCCCTTATAGAACCCGTCTGCCAAAGCCGCCTTGCCCGACCGCTTCTCGTCGAAGAGCAGCGCTCGCTCGCCGAAGCAGGCACCTGCCATGGAGCTCCCTGTGATAAGCTCTGCAAGTAGACTAATTGTAGCCACGTACACTCAGTACGTACATATATATATATATATATATGTACGTATATGTGAGTGTGCGCATTGTGTATACATATGTATATACATATATGTATATGTATGTGTGTACGTATATGTGTGTGTGTGCACATCGTGTATACACATATACATACATGCGTATTTATATATATATATATAGATATATATGTTTATTTGTTTATACTTATATTTATTTACATAAATATATATATATATACATACGTACGTACGTACATACATACATACATACATACATACATACATACACATATGCATGTACGGGCATGCACATACCTGCATGCATGTGATCACGTACGTCTTCAGGCTTTGGAGCATGAACCTATGGCACACATGTGGGTACATATGCATCGTAACCACTCTGCCCTTGCAGGTCCCTTGTGAAACCCTGCGTGAGCAAAAACTACGTTGCACGGGGCTTCCTACCCTGGCAGGCCTTTGCCGAGCTCGCGTAGCAAGACTCCGTCCACATCGACACCTCAGCCGAACGGGGGCTTAGGGTCGAGGGTTTAGGGTTTAGCGTTTGAATTTAGGGTCTAGGTTTTAGGTTTTAGGGTTTGAGTTTCCCGGGGCCTTGTTGCCCTCACGGCCTGCGATCAGCGCACCGAAACCAGGCGCTAGATGTTCAAGGTCCAGGATAAGGGTCAACTGATGCGAGCCAGCCACGCACACCCCCGGACATGACGATGTAGAACTTGTCGCCGGCTTCTCCTCAAGCATGAAGAGCAACAATCGCAAAACATCACTTCAGCAAGCCTGGCCAAAGCTACAAGCCCTGAAGCCCTAAGCCCTTAACCTTTAATCCCCAGACCCCTCCTGCGCTTAGGGCACCTTAAAAAGAATCCAACTTTCCCAAAGTCCCTAAACATCTCCAAAACCCTAAACCCAAACCCTAAACCCTAAACCCTAAACCCCAAAAGCACCTCAACATCCTGAACGTCCACAGCCGAAAGAAAGCCCAGCCTTGGTCAAAGACGATCTCCCCCGGTCTCCAGGGATCCGTGGAGTCCAAAGCCTTTGAGATGGAGCAGACCTCCAGGTTTTAGGCGGTTTAGGGTTTAGGATTTAGGGTTTAGGGTTTAGGGTTTAGGGTTTAGGGTTTAAGGGTTTAAGGGTTTAGGGTTTAAGGGTTTAGGGTTTAGGGTATGCCGNNCCGAAAACGAATCGGAGCAGGATCCTCATCCAGAAGCTGAGACGCAAGATGCTAGCTTCAGAGTGCAACAGGCTTTGGATTCGAAGATGCAACTGGAACCACCAGGCTACTGGAAACTGAAACCCCAACAGGATATAGTATCGCATGTTATGGTATACCTTCGGACTATCGTAGATCACAGAGTATACCAAAAACTCCGCGACAGCATACTATCCACCCTCAATCTCCGCCTGAAAGTTCGCGAGGCGCTTCAGAACGGGCAGCCTTTGTCGACAGGCCAAGCAGGGCTTCGGAGTTTGGGGTCCATGAGGGTTTCGGGTCGATGAGGGTTTAGGAGTTTAGGGTTT